TTCTGCCCATCAATGTTAATCTACTTCAAGAGTTTGGGATATTTGTATTAGTTAATGGATTGACAAGCATCTCCCTCTCTAACTCTTGTTCAGTAAGGTAATTGCTAATGTAAGTGAGCGTATTTGGTGCACATTGAAGGCCTATGACCTCTTTAAGCAAGTATGTGGTGACTTTAAATTCTTTTCCCATGACAAATGTGACAAAGGAATCGTCATGCATCATTATCTCACCATCATTAGTTCTTTTGTAATTCATACTCCCATTACAATACAAGACTTTAACTAAATGCTCATGCATGGGTTTATATTCATACCATCCTAAGTCTTTAAGGTGCTTAAGATAAGGAAACTAAATGGACTCAAGAAACTTTAGGTCTATTACCTTTCCATGATGCACTTTATTCCTTGAGAAATAATTATTGTAATGCTCTTCCTCATTGTCTTGAGAGAAGTTTTTCTTGAAAGGATTTGGAAAAGCAACATCCTACAACAATAACCCCATATGACTGTGATTTGCCATTCGTTTGACGTGTTTATGAGCCATTTTTGGGGAGGAGTTTAAAGGATTGATGGTTGAAGAATTGATTTGTAATGTGGAGGGGTTGATTCTTGGAACGAGGATCATTTTTTGAAAGAAAAAGGTTAGCTCTCCTAAGTTGGAAAAGGTTTTGAAGATTTGGTGTGTTTTTGAAATTGTAAGTGAAAAAGCCTTTCATAGTTGATGAAAAGAGAGTTTTTAGTGAAAAGTCCCATCTCTAAAAAACCTAAATGGTGTCTTTTTATGAAAGAATGAAATTTAGGGAGAATTCATCCCTTTTTAAAACCTATCTCGACGTAAAGAGTCATGTTTGTTTCATCTAGGATTAACCTTTTCTGAACTAAGGGTCGATCCTTGAGGTTTTAAAAATGTTTCCATGCTTTGGGGATCAACCTTTTAATTGCAATGAGTTGATCTTGAAACCCGTGTGTGTTTTTAAAATTGGTTCTCCTTTATGAGGATCGACCTTTTAATGGCAAAATGTCGATCCTTGTACACCCTTGTGGTTTTAAAAAAAGACACGTGCTTCTAGGATTGACCTCTTAAATTGAAAACGGTCGATCGTTGAGCATTTGGGAAGTTTAAAAAATTAGCTTGCCTCATAGGGATCAACCTTTCAATTAAAAGAAAGTCGATCCTTGTTACATAGAGCATGTCCTTAGGCTTTTCTTCTTGTAGGGATCAACTTTCCTACCATTAGGGGTCAATCCTAGGGAGCCAAGGAAGTTAATATAAGCTTTTAATTTTGTGAAGGGTCGACCTATTCATGTTGAAAGGCCGATCTTTGCACTTTCTCAATGAAAAATTACACCACTTTTTTTTTAAAACAAGTGTAAGGTCCAAAAATCATTTTTCAAATCAATTTAGATGTAAATTTTTTTTAAAAAATAAATAAATAAATTTGGAATTGTGCAAGTATTTCTTAAAATTAAATGAAACATTTAAAGAGAGAAAATGAAGAGGATAGAGGCATTGACTGTTAAATTACATAACCTAAACAAAATCATTTTGGGGGAAAAATAGAAAAAAGGAAAAAGAAAATGAGCTATAGGCACCAAAATAGTGTCATTTTAGGAGAAAAAAGAAGAGAAAAAAATGGGCGGAGAAGAGCAACGGGGTTGGATTTGACCCTACCTGGTCAAGACTAAGTTAGGATATTTTAAAGAGTTATGGTTTAGTGGGTTCAAAGTGGGACTCTTTAGATTACACCTATTTCTTAACCTATCTAAAAGAGTCAAGTACTTCCCATGCGTCATTATTTTTTTCTTGAAAGGTAGTAATTTTTCCATTACCAAAGAAAAGTACGAAAAACAACCACTTAATGGCAATGTGGTTAGCCATTTGATATTAGCAACAAACTAACTATGTCAAGTGCTGAGCGATGTAATAGCCTACCAAAAACATCATGTTGCAAAATGATCGTACCCATAAACACCCAACACAAACCTATAGCTTCCAAGTTAGAACCAAAACAGGATATCAACACGCAACAACCTAATTCCCTCAGAACTCTATGTCTACTTACAATCATCAAAATTTTTCAAAACTTCCAAAAATCAACCAATTCGAACCTCCATTGTACCTTAGAATTATCATCCTTTTACTAGGATTTAGGAATAGCATAATGTCCATTTGCTATCCTATAACTTGCAATAACTATTATTCCCTTGTTAGGATTGAAGAATAAAGCAACATCCACTTGTTATCTTCCAACTTGTGTAGCCTACATCGTCTTCACTTTTCCATCCATTCCAACTATGCCATTTAGAATGAGATAAGAGCCTTTAGTCTCATAATTACTTTTTCCATAGAACCAAGAAATGTTTTGCAATAAGCAATATCCATTCACTTGACTAATGACCTTTGTTGAAGTCAACTTTTCACCCTCCAAATCCTAGTGATCCTTCATTTACTAGAAGTAGCATGGTGTCCCAAACAAGTATGTGTCCTAGCTATCTAGCACAACTAAAGGGATTTCATGGGCAGGCCTTTATAAGTAGGAAGCCTTTAACAACACAAAAACATAACCTTATGCCAAAGAAGATTTCAAAAAATTCTTCCATTCAAGATAACACATATGGAGACTTGTGGATTTATTTTCTCAAATTTTATTAGTTATTTAGTTTTTAAAAGTTTTTTTAGTATTTTTTATTTTGTGCCTTTTTCTTTTCTTTTCTTTTTTTTTTTTCATTTTTCTCTCCATCATCTTGCAATCTCTCTTTTCCCTTATAGACCTAACGTTTCTCATTCCCCTTGTGATACCCCATCCACATCAAATGTGATATATGATTTTTAAGACTTACATAATGATCTAAGTCAATCATTGCTATAAACTTTAGCTTAAGTTTTTGAGACCCACATCGTTTGGGACTTAAAAGTTGTTGGGCCAATGCTTAAACTTGAGTCATTACAAATAGTATCAAAGCATGTGTTAGCCTAATGTGTGGGCTTCCACATTACATTGATGAGATCTTGGTATCGTGAAATGGGCCTTGATTGTGATTATAATTTGTGATCTTGATGAAAACATCAAGGATTTAAGTGGATGAGATTAGAATATTCCATCCCATATCAAATGTGAATGTGATTATTAAAACCTATATAATGATCCAAATCAATCACTACTGTAAACTTGAGTTTAAGTTTTTGAGAGCCACGTGATTTAGGCTTGAAAAATTACTAGACTAGTGCTTATACTTGGGTCATTACACCCCATCCTCCCCCTCATATAGTGAGCATTCCTTTTTCTCACAAGAAACAAACAACCAAGGGAATACACTTTCCCGTCAAAAGTCTTATCCTTCACTTCCCTTTCATCTTGAGAGGCATGTCACCCTCCCTTGCACACAATTCCCACTAGCTCACCACCTATCTCACCTTTTTCCTTTTGTTGGGGCTTTTTTACAAACCTTCCCACCTCCCACTTCCACACCCTCTAGAAGAAAGCCTTCCCTAAACAAGACACAAGATCCCAATCCCCTCCCTTGATCCTATTCCATCTACCATCCCTAGGCCCATGTGACATTGTTGACACATGGTATCTTGAACCTTTGGACTTACTTTTATTAGCCAATTCTCACATTCTCATTAAATCTAGAAACTTCTTTATCATTTTAAATAACTAGCCTTTTTCGACTGATTGAAGAAACTTTTTTGGTACATTAACAAATGAACGTCTATTCTATTCAGAGCTTCTCTCTTTAACCTTCCTTATTCCTTTCCCTCAAACACACATCTCCTATTAAAGAGCACCTTTCCCCACATTCCACCTAACCCTTATTACCTTATCAACCTTTCGATCACCTTTCACCACTAATAAGGCTCTCTACAACTACCCACTTTTCCTCTCTTCCTTTCGTTTCTTACCCATCTCATTTTTTTAATGCAATGCTACCATAGTTACCTACCTTTTATAGAAAAGCCCCTTCACATACTTAGTAGTGAAAATAATTGCTCCAGTTTGAGTCAGATAAAGGAAGGGTATTTGTTAAAGGTAAAAATCTGAATTTGACCATTTCAATTTAGTAATTTTAGTCTCATTACCCTAATTTTAACTAATTTAATCTTTACACTTAAGTTAAAAAGTAGGTCTAAGGACAATAGATGATAATGTCAAAATTTAACAATTAATTTCAATGGCGTGATTATTCTGTTGATGATATGGCATGCCAACCTTAAGTTTTTTAACCATGTGGCACCCGTTATCATAAAAAAAAGAAACTTTGTTTTCAATATTATTTGTTTTTTAGTATCCAAAAAAAATTAATACTTATTTAATCAAAATATAATGATTTTTTTAAAGATGATAATGTGCTACATGATCAAAACTTAATCCATCTCATCTTACTACGTCATCATTAAAATGTCATGACATTGAAATTAATGGTAAAAAATTTTAATATAGTTATCAATTTTTCTTAAATCAAATTAATTGTACAGTTTTGATGAATGTTGGGAAGAGTCTTAGCTGCAGATTTAAGACTTAGCAAAGCATTCTTACCTTTCATTGTCCGATGAAAGAAAATCACTTTTCAAAAGAGTATAAGAATTCATTAACATTTAGGTGGATGGAGTAAAGGTTTCAAATTGAAACTTATCATGCTTTTTAGAAATGATTTGAGATAGCTATAGCTTTTTCTAGACAAAATATATAGCTCTCAGTTAACACATTGTTTAGCTTTCAATTTTATGACTTCTTTTAAGGCTTTTCTAGGAATCGCAATTTACAACATTTCTTAATTAGCCTCCTCACATGGATGGCGTTAGGTTTGGTGGGCAATTTCCATGGATGGGATCCTCAAATTGGTGATGGGGATGAGGATGGAAATCCATTTCCTCCATCTTCACTCCCCCATGCAATATATATATATATATATATAATATGTAAAATGGCAGCTAATCTTTTGCAATCTATTGGCAATAATGCACAAATAAATTTTCAAGAATCCAAAGAGCACACTGCTAACCCGAAATGAATCTTCTCTGGACACCTTGATTAACACATAACACCGTACAGTTCAATGGAACCTAAGCTCATTGCGCAAGCTCCATTTTATATCAGCAACAAACATACTACTTTTTTGCCCCACTCACTTAGCCAGGAATTGAGCTTCTCACTTTTCCAGCTTAATCTTTCAAAAGAATATGTAGTAGACATGGGGCCCTTACTCTGGTAAATCTTGCAAAAATTAGAAAGTTAAGCACGATCTATCACAATTCATCATGGATATTTACAATAACTTTTGTTTGTTCAAGATGAGCATAATCCCATGACTTAACTCCAGATGGAAAACTCATCATATTCACATTTCTTGCACAATTTGCGCTAGAGCTTGAACTCCCACTTCTCTGGCTATGAATTCTAAGGTTGTTTCGAACAAAGACAAGATCTTTCACTTTCTGCGTTCCCAACTTGTTGGGTGCTTCTCGACATAGAAAGTAATCACCTTGCCAAATATCTTGGCACATTGAAATGGTTGACACTTGACTGAGGACCTTAATGGCTAGAGTCTGCAAGTGAGGTGTTTCAAAACCAAAGTTTTCCCACCATGCAACTGGGTCCATTTTATCTCTACAATCCAGTGCATCTTCTTCTCCAAAGGATCCCTCCAATCGCCAATAAGAGCTTAGCTGCTCTCTAAGGACCCGTCTAGCTGCACTATCACACTCATACCTTTCTAAAGAGGCTTTCCAACCTCGCATTATACTTTTATCCTTGGCCTGACCTCTTCCAAAATATCCTGGGTTCAGTATGTAACCAGCAGCATGAAGAGGGGAAAATAACACATCCCATTTGTCCTCTATCAGAACTTCCAACTGATTCAATGCAGTTTCATTGATTTCTTTGCTCCTCACAGCTTCAAGTGCCTGAACACGCCAATCATAAACAGCACCCATCGCAGATTTGTCAATATCAAGCATAGCAAGTAATTTTGTAAAAGGCTCAAACAATTGCAGCATCATACGAGCCTTGCTCCAGAATTCATCCCCTAAAATGGAAGCTTCGACAATTAGAATATCCTCTGGAATACTGTCTTTCCATTGCTTCCACTCTTCGCTCACAACAACATCTCGAAGTGCCTGCTTTAGCTCAAAAATTCTCTTGACAGAGCAATAGGAAGGTGCAAACTTGGCAGAAAATGGATCAGGGCTCTCTTTCAGATTTGGAGTGAAAAGGCACGGAAAGGCATGGTGATTCATCAGGATACATTGCTCAATACCCTTAGCACACAAAACTACAGGTTTTATGCACTCCAGTTCAGCTACTTCTTCCATCAATATATGGACAGAATGTGAAGTGCAAGGTGACCAAAATATATGAGGAAACTTGGATGAAATAAGGGATTCAGTTGATTTACAGACATGGTCTGTATGTGAGATTATTTGAAGAACATTTATGGCTCCAACTTCAACAATTGCATCAGTAAGGACACTAGTAAACATATCGACTGCTTCATCACTGTCATCTATATCTACTGCTCTCAAGAATATGAGCCCCCTTGGACTTGAGACAAAAATGTTAACATGAAAACAACCTTGTGTGCTGCCTAAACAACCAACACACATCACAGTGCAACCCGTGTGAGGCCAGGACTCCCTAACTAAAGCAATAGATTTCTCAATCCTTCCTTTCTCTTTACTTAAAAAGCAGTCAGACAGCTTATCCACTGAAGGGGGTTCATACCCAGAGCCAAAAGCAGCAATTGCCTTAACCATTTCATTAAAAAAAGGAGAGTTGACTAAACTAACATTTAGTCCATCTGCATAAAAAAATCTAGCTACAATGTCATCCACATCTTCTTTTCTGATAGTTTTCCATGTGCCTCTTGGTTGTATAGTTGGTATGCGCTTACCAGGCTTCCCACTTCCGGAAGTCCTTTTCTTCTTCCGAGCCAGGCGCTCATCCTCTAAGATATGAAATGCTTCCCTTAAAGTCCTGTCTATTGCAGGGCAGCTTTTGACGCCAACACCTGAGAACCCAAGAAGATGGGCCCTAACTCGGGAATAGGATCCATTATATCGTAAATTACAATGATTGCACTTCCATCTTTTAGTACCACTTCCCCTGTCAAACCCACCAAACACACTGACATGCTCCCATCCCCACTTATCAGATTCTGACGCCATAATCGCAAAGCCTGGTGTGAAGGGAAGAAGAGGATACTTTATCCAAGGATCAAAAGAGACAGCTACTGCACCCCATCTCCATTACAAAATGCATTTCTCTGGGACATGTATCGAGCAATTAAAGATCACTTACAATTACACGTGAACTGAAACAAGTACAGTGAAGGAACATGGAATGGCCAGAATTTTAGTAACTTTTCTTGTTTGGATAACTAATGTTGAAGAGAAATGGATGGAACAGAAGCAAAATTATAATTGATAAGTTATCTTCAACACTTCTTTAGCCATTACTTTTTGAAGAAAAATAAAATGTCAAGTGTATCTAGATAATTCATTGATAAATGGGAGATCAAGTTTCTCATAACTGTAATTTTATCTTTATTTCTCTGCTGATCAAGTCTCTCAAATCCAAACAAAAGAAGAAAAAAGAAATTACTTTCAATCACTTCTCTTCTTTAACCCCCTTACTTTTTGCTGCTCAGCATTTTCCAACTTACCAAACATAACTCCTCTTAAATTACCAAACATATTCTAAAAGCAAAGCCAAAAAGGAAATTAAGCATAACTCAACACTGTAAAGGCTAACATAGTTTCATCAAGAAGAGAGAAAACGAGAGAGAAGGCCAACATAATGCCTCATCCTCTGACACATCAAATGAAGAGCAATTCACTTGAATATATTAAAAACCATAGATTTTAAGGAAATCAAAAGATCAAGTAACACCATCATCAAATTCATCAGATAATACGAGGGAATCTCCTCAATAACACACAGAACCAAGAAAAGAAAGACCAAAAAAACTTACCCAGATTGGGAAAACAAAGGCTGATAGTATGTATGATAGACTAGTGGCAGAGATCGGTTCAAAGCTCAAAGCCGAGCATGTTTGTTTTCTCTTCTTCCGTTCCATTTTGTGGGAAAATAGCAGTTGGGCAAAATTTGCTAACGGCGCGATAGAGAGAGAGAGAGGGCTCATGGCCATGGCCTCGTGGCTCATTGGTGGGTTATTGACCTTTCGATAAACCCACCTGTCGACAGAAAATGGGCTTCTCTATTCGCTTCGAATGCCATTCCTGCATGTTCACTATACAGTCAACGATTGACTTTTTATTTTTTTCCTTTTTTTAAAAGATAATTAAGTGTTATAAGTGAAGTGACATCAATTCAATTAATGCAATTATTATAAAAAAATCAAATAATGATTGAGTTTTTTTTGTTATAATTTGATATTACAATTCAATAACACTAACTCAATTAACCAGATTACATAAACACCAACAAAAATAAATAAATAACATTAGGGATTGACACACATCAATACGTTTGTATGTAAAAGTAGTAAACTGATATACACATTACTACGGTTTTTTTATTATCATCGCATAAAAGCATTGCACAATTATCTATACTAATAGATATTTTATTTTGGTTCCGTTTTGATAGTTATGAAAATAATATTTGGAATTTTTTGGATAGACATAGGAAAATTTGGTTAATGAAAATTGGATTTTGTTAATGGAAATAACAGGGAGAAATTTTGAAAATTGTCTTCTAGATTTGGGGAAAATAAGACAATTTCCTTAAACATATTTAAAGCTTGTTTTACTTACAATTAACTTTTGCTTTTCTTGTGTTAGTTCAATGAATTAGATTTCTATAAATCCTTTTCACAACTTAAACATCAAAACACAATAAGTTAAATATAAAGTCAATGACAACCAACCAAAAAGTTTAATGCAATAAAAGTTAAAAAGGATAGGGTAGAGAAATTTGCAAATGCTATCTATAAAGGTTTAGCCTTTCATCTTTTTGCCTATGTCCTCTCCCTTAGCTAGCAAAGGAGTTCAAATTTACTATTGGTTCACCAATACAAATTTTTTTTAAGGTTAAGGTATAACCTCTTTATCTTTCTAAGGTTAAGATAAAACCTTTTACACAACCTTTTCAATGGTAAGGTAGAAACTCTCTCACACTAAAAAATTGTTTGCTAAACAAGCAGAAGGAACCTCTTAAAGGTAGATATTGTTAGTAAATACAAAATGGTATCAAAATGATTACAAATGTAAGCTAAAAAAACTATGAACAATATGAAGAATCTTTGATCTCGAGGGGTTAATTTAATTTGGTTCAGCACTTGTTCTCTATACTTGCAAAATAAATATAAGTCATTGCATAACCATTTATAAACAAAAGACTTGTTGGTTAGCTACAATTTTGTCTTTATTTCCACAAATGGACACCTTCCCATCAATCCCTTCTTACATGGGATCAATTTTGCTCTTGAATTTTAAATTTATGGGAGTTGAGGATCTATCCCTAATAGGCAATAAAGGATTCTTAGGCTTTTGTCTAACAAGGATCGATCCTTAAAACCATAGGATTGATCCCCAACAAGTAGTAAGGGATTCTTAGGGTCATGTCCTATAATGATCAATCTTAAAAACATTAGGATCGATCTTTGTAGCCATGGGTGCATTCATTTTGCTTCTGAACAATAAAGATTGATTTTCTAACCCTAGGGATCAGTCCTTCCAATTGTGGGTGCAATCCTTTTTGCTTATGGCCAATAAGGATCAATCCTTGTAGCTATTGTGTTCAAAATCCCTTTCAATTTAAGCCTTCTTCTTAAAAACTTAACCGTTAACTCATAAGATAAATTTCATTAAGTATTCCAATGTTTCTAAATGTTTCTTAAGCATTTAAAAATTAATTATTTTAATTTTGATAATTTTGCTTTTGTTATTTCATAATAAAAATCAAATTAAAATTAATAATCTCCTCTTTTTTGATATGACATAACCTTAATCAAAATTTGCTATGCTTTTAAGAACAACTCCTCCTGAATTTAAGTTAAGTATTAAAGTATAGAAGTTTCTAAACTTCAAAGATGCTAAGAAAAGTTAAAACATTTTGAAAAAACTCCCCATCAATAAGTCAAGTTTCAACAACATAAAAAAATGAAGGTCAAAATCAAGCTACAAGATCAATCTCTAAGTATTTGCAAATTTGAGAGGTCTCCCCTTTTTCCTAAAGCAAAATTATAAGCAACATTCAACCACAATAAGCAATATCCAAAATAGTAAAAAGCAATATTCACAATAAGCAATATCCAATATTCAACATTCAATCCACAATATGCAAAATTCAACCACAATGTTCAACATTCAACCGCAATATTCAAAATTGCATAAGATAATCCTAAAAAGAATGAAAATTAAATTATAGAGCATCAATCATAAGCAGTCATCCACAAGCCCAAAATTATAAAACATAACACCAAGAAAACATTATGATGACCATAAAATGCATTAATAAGAAATTATCAACTCTGTTAACCTCAAGGATAAGGTACAAAGTCAAGACAAGTCTAAAGTCATAAAGGTAATTGAAAACAAATCCACAATGTAAAGTTTTAATATAAAATGATGTCCAAATATGAAATCTTTGAAAATAGAAATGGAATGTATCCCTTTGGAGAATCACCGAGGTATAATGGAGAATAAGGTGGTGATGAATAAGGGAATTGTTGGCAAAGAAATTGGCTCAACACTTTTTGTCATTAGCACATGTCATCTTGCTTTGTTCTTATTTAGGAGATAAAGGTTTGGACTTCTCAAAGACTTAAGGACAACTTATGGTCCATATGTCGCATTTAAGAGATAAGACCATCAATGCTCTTGATAAAAGACTTTAAGGCAACTTGGGTGTAAAAGGTTGGCCACTAAATGGTGCACTAGGTCTTTCTAGAGGCATATGTTTCTTAACTCTTATCACACATCCTTGGCTATAGTATATGCCCTAATGTGGGATTGTTTTGGTTCTTTAAGAAGAGGATCACACCTAATGTCTAATTGCAAGTGATCAATGATCGCGCTAATGGCCAAACCATAAAGAATACTTTTTTGAGCAGTAGTGACAATTTGCATCATATCATCAAAGATTAACTAAACCAATTGTACTTTAGTCTTTTTTTTTCTTTAATTTTATAGATAAACCATAAGTTTTCCTTATTAAGGATCAAACACTTAAGACCCGAAGGTATCAAGGTGTGAGACACTATGAGGTGTAAGATCCTATTATGCAGAGAGTCTCTCGATGCATTACTTACGATGGATTCAGTAACGGGAGGATAAGTGTACACCATATTAGTTAAGGTGGTCTCACCAATTACCATATCATTAGGACTTGCACCATAGTCATTATCAAGGTCAAAAACAATGCCAAGGAAATTTGTGTATACAATTATTCATTTTCCTAAGACATAAGTGACAAACCTATCATCGTAGAAAACTTCATTTCCATCACCATTCTTCAGCTTATTAGTAGCATTATTATAAAAAATTCGAACAATATTTTCACAAACTCCTTTACACGTACTAAGATATTTAAACCAACCAAAATCTCTTTAATGTAACAATATAAGAAATGTCTAAAGTGGCAAGGAAATCAAAATTTATTAACCTTCCCAACCAAATCCCTTTATGTACAAAGTTAGATGTGTAGCAATGATAAAGCACAAGATTTTTGAAATTTCATTTGAAAGCACACTCCTTTGGCTCCGCCTTTGGGTATGGATCACAAAAAATTGACCCTCAAATATGTTTAATGTGATTATGCTAAATGATAAGCAAACTTAATGTTATGAATAAATATTAATTAACATTGTAAGAGTTATATGTCACATGATGTTGCTATAAGGCAATGTGGAATGATTTCTCACTTATGTAATGAATGTTATGTTGGGTGGGGGCTGGTCATGTATTGAATACAAACAAATCCCAGCAAAAGAAAATAACCAAATAAAATGCACCTCACCTTTCTAAGATCCCATTCATGCTGTATTGAACACCAAACCAAAATGTAAAATAAAGCCATATGATCATATCATATTACCTAACAACAAAGGTTGATGAATCCTTTGTTAAACCACTAAAACAACCTCAAAAATCTCAACCACCTCAACTTGATTGTTGCAAACTAAAACTGTCCAAGAAATACTTGTGTAGCCTTTAACAATGATCCACACCAATGAATCAAAAAAATCCTTCTCTAAACATTGGGAATGCTATGTCGTATCTATATGCTAGCAAAGATGAGTTTCATAAACTCAAAGCCCACGCAAAATAGCTTTAGGACCAAACGCACACAACACTAAGGAAAGGAAAACGACTTTCTCTTCATAAGGGGCGGTTAGGGCAAAAATATTTTTCAAGTGTGTAAGCTTATCTTGTGTTGGGAGGTTATAGCAAGGTATTTATACCTTGGATTAATTTAACCGTAATTAGGTCAATTACACAACTTTTATGTAATTGCCAATTAATCCAATAACTTAATTAAACTATTTAATTAACGCTTTAAAACGCTTATAACTTCTAATTTGATTAGGTCCAACTTAATCACTTTTTCCCATTTTATTTTTAATATTCATTTTAGATGTGTAACCCATTAGGCTTCTAACATGTTGGTAATGAACTTAAGATATAATCCTTAAGATAAACTTAGGATTAGATAAATTTAAACTACTTTAACTTTATCATTAATCAAATTAACTATCTAAAGTTCATTGACTAAGAACAGGATTTAACAATCTGATAACGTTATTATATAGAATTATCTTGTCATATTTTGAATGATAAAATGGCTAAGTATTTGAGTTTTGGTAAAATTTTAAGTAATTTTCATTGTTTTTTCTTTAATTAGTTAACGTATGATTGAGCTACTTTACTTCAAGTTATTTTAGTTCATTTGTATATTAAAAATACCTATTTTTAGCTATGGCTAATTTAGTTTTTATGTTTTTAAGGTCTTCAAAAGAGAAGGGGTCAAGTGGCAAGGAATTGTACAAATGGCCAAGTGCAAACTTCACCAAACATGCTACAGCATTTCAAATGTAACTTGAGATACAGCAGTTTGATTGACTAGATTTTTAAACCACTGGAAAGTTAAAAGGAAGGGTTACAACTTTGATGTCCAACACTTCA